CACAGAGATCTGCCTGCCTCTGTGCCCGCCCCCCCAAGTGCTGGGATTAAAGGCACACATCCCCACCACCTGGCTCTGAGTTTTTTCTTAATAAAAAAAGTAAAAGAAAAAAATAACAATGAGCCGGGCGATTGTGGCGCACGCCTTTAATCCCAGCACTCGGGAGGCAGAGGCAGGCGGATCTCTGTGAGGTCGAGACCAGCCTGGTCTACAGAGCTAGTTCCAGGACAGGCTCCAAAGCCACAGAGAAACCCTGTCTCGAAAAACCTAAAAAAAAAAAAAAAAAAAAAAAATGATTGGCAGTTCCCTTCTCCAGAATGGAATTAAGTCATAAGCACAAAAGGGAGTGAATGTTTCCTGCTGAAATTATGTCAAACCACCATTTGCTATGACCAGAATTTTTTCCTACCACTAGGACTGAACTCAGAGCCTTGGGCTTGCTCTGCAAGCACAGCGCAGTATACTTCCCAGTCCAGAAAAGACTGGCTGCCATAACCTGAACACTCCCCAGAGGAAACCTCCACTAGGGCCAAACTGCACATAAGCCAAGGGCTGGGTGGTGGTGGCGCACACCTTTAGTCCCAGCACTGGGGAGGCAGAGGCAGGCGGATCTCTGAGTTTGAGGCCAGCCTGGTCTACAAGAGCTAGCTCCAGGACAGGCTCCAAAGCTACAGAGAAACCCTGTCTTGAAACACAAAAACAAAAACAAAGACATAAGTCAAGAACCCAGGGAGTGACTTCAACCAGTTGTTGGCCTCTGAGCAACCAATATAGCTGACCATTTTTTGTTTTTGTTTTTCTCCCAGTATTAAGGATGGAGCCCAGAGGCATATGCATAGTAGATCAGCATTCTGACAATGAATTATATCCCCAGCTCCTAAATCCTTAAAGGCCAGTTTCCAATGGTAAACAATTTGTTGACCTCACTACCTGATTCCACAGGGAGCATTACTCTTAGTTATGAAACAAAGACTGACCCAGACAATCAGCGGCTAAGCACAGAATGGGATATTGAAAACCTGGATCCTGTCTATCTAATGCCAAAAGTTTTCTTAGGAATGGCTTGTGCTGGAAGGAAGAAACACATTCATCTGACTGTATCCAGTTCCAATGTGGCTGAGATTTCTGCAAGTACAGCCAGATGCTCCCAGCACCTCACTGGGAAAGGCGAGGATCACAGAGAAATCAAAGGAAGGCCAGTGTGGGCAGAATCACTCCAGCGAGCATGGTTAAAATTGCATTGTCCAAGCCAACAACAGCTTCTGTTAGAGAAGTGGCTGCACCGGGCAAGGACTTCTTTAAATAAAACCAGCGGTGACCACACACCAGAAAGAAAACATTGTGTCCAATTATTAGCTTGTTTTTAGCCTCCTTCCAAGGTGCTCGATCTTGCTGAGCAACACTCACCATGTCCATGATCAGATGGCCACAGAGGAAACACCTGTCGGCAGACTGCTGAAAGCCAGAGTACTACAGAGAAGAGAAAAGAAAGATGATTCAGCTGCCTCCCCTCCAGCAGCGAAGGGTGAGGGATTTCTGAGAAAACTGTGGTTCCCCTGAGGGTGTGCTGCTGAGTCACGGGCAGTCCTGGGCCACCCACCCCAGTGACTGCATCTGGGCCCCATACTGTGTCAAGCTCGGTATGACAGATGACCTCAGAGGGGCTTAAATCCATCATCTCAAAGAGTCACAAAACAAGATCCTTAAAATCACTTGGAAATGTGGAATAAATTAAGTTTATGGACTCCACCTCAGACTTACTAAGCTGGATACAGGGCTAGGGCCTGGCATCTGTATCCTAACATGCTTTTTCAGGGCTCTGAAGACAGCACATGGTCTCGTTCTCTCTCTCTCTCTCTCTCTCTCTCTCTCTCTCTCTCTCTCTCTCTCTCTCTC